GTCTTACACACACACACACACACACACACACACACACACACACACACACACACACACACATATATATATATATTTTATCCGGTACAACGAAAACCATAAGTATACTGAGAAAGTGTGCCATACTGGTGACAAAGAGAGCCGTCTAAGTGCCACAATGGGCATGACAAAGACGAACGAGCTATAACTCGAGCTGACGCTGCATATATTCCGCACCGGTGTCACCATTTTCCTTGTTTTCCTTGCTTACCTCGTTCCTCCTGTTCTCCCCCGAGCGGGTTACGTCGCTTACATACAGTGTATAAATATAGGATTTACATATTTCAGCGTGTCTAGGGAAAGCTTACGTGCCAGCTCTCACGCGCGCGCTTGAATACAACAGAGGTTATTTTTTGGTTCGTGAAAAAAACTGGGCTATATAATCAAGTTCGCGTACGAAGTACTTGAGGAAAGGTCACATCTTCTTTCGTATATAAAAAGAATTTAGCTTTGAATTATTGAATTCGCTACAACGTCGCACCGCAAGAAGTTATAAATACTCAAGACAGCAAGATCGCTGCACTCTGAGTGACTATATACAACATTGTTTTCCATTCAAGAATTCACTGATAGTACGTTTTCTCAAGTAACATTCTTCTTAGCTGCTTATGCAATCTATAGTTGATTCTTGAAAAAAAAAAAAAATTAAAGGAAGGAACTCAAATATTATTGTAACAAATACCTTCTGTTCCACAAATATGCTTTATTTTATTATTACGTATTGATTCCTAATAATATTTTTTTTATTCTTTTCGATATTTTATCGTTCTACAAATTTTTATTAATATAAAAATTAATTTCTTCAAAGAAAATTTTTAATTTTTTATAATACAAGATTAAAATTCTTGTTTAAATGTGACTATCTCTGTTAACGTAAAAAGCGTAATGTTTACGAGATTTAATCGAGCTTCCTATCCTCTTATTTAGCTCTTATTTTTTCGTATTAATGATTTAACAATCCGCTTTGACCTTCTCCCATTCAGCAAATGTCGATTTAACTAAGATCCGCTTTGACGATGCCGCGCACGCTACTTTCGCCAAGTTTACGGTTAACCGTTTCAATCCGCATTTCCCTCCAGCAAATTATTGCGTCAATTCCATGCTAATGAACTAAGTTCCAGCCGTGGCCCAATTGCAATTGCTGTTGCAGAAACAGCCGTGTATCATAACAGTCACGGCAAACGGCGCGCAACCCCGGCGAAAATAATTACACCGCGTTACTACCCTATCGATATAATTTGTATTTGTGTGTAACGTAATTGTTACACGTGCGCTCTATCGTATGGATTCGACAAAAAAAAAATAGGGAAAAAAACCTTTCGGCATTCAAACAACAAAATAACAGCGCGCGAGAATCATAATCTCCAATATATCGCGAACATTTTTTTGTGAAATTTAGATACAGGCGATGTGCCGCGCGGTACTGCACGAGTAATAAATATAACCCATACGAAAGATAAACTTAAGATCTCTCTCACGATAAAGAAGAAAAAAAAGAACACATATCCGGAATACATATCCGGAAGCGCGTTTTCTTTTTCAATTGAAGAACGCGTTTGACATAACCATCCGAGGGCTCTTTTACATGCATAGACGTTGTAAGTACGCAAGATGATGAAACTCCGATCCGCTTAACTGAGCGCTCTCGCTATCGAGCACGGTTCTTCGATTGTTCAACATTATACGTACCTCGGAGCGTAGTTGCAAACGTACATGTAGAAATCCTTGCCGAGCGGACCCTTGCCGCCGGTGCAATGGCTCACCCCGCATCCGACCAGATGTGTCGTCGCCCACACCACCTGCGTGTAATGGCCGATCTCGAGGATCTCATTCGTCGTATTGGGCCCGTACTTGAAGTCCTTGTACTCCATGTACCACATTCTGATGGGGAAGTTCCTGTGCAACATTCCGACGAGAATAATTCGGAGGGAGCAATCTCTCTATCTCTCTCTCTCGATTCCTATAGTCGCGCGGCGAATTGTCCGCGCGCAACGCAAAGCGTCCGCGCGCGTACTCCGGGATGATGTTTGTAAAGCCCACGGTTTCTGCATGGCGAAAATCTACGCTGTTGTCCAACGGCGGACTGTTTGTTCACGTAATCTAATTCTAACTTTGTTGACGGGAGAATTAATTACGATTAGCAATATCCTCTTTCAACACGGCGCGAAGCTAAATTTCCCGATGACACGGAACGTGATCTTTCGAAATTACACTCTTGCGACTCGCGGCGTATATATTCCGATGATTTTCGCAATTAAATCGTAAAATTCGAGACCTTGTCCAGCGGCGAGATTAATAATCATCCCGGGCGACGGGATATATATCTTTTCGAGAAGTTATCTTTTGATATGTAAATAATGAAGCCGGTGGCGAGGTAATTAACGGTGTGCATCTCCACGGCAGATGGACCGCCGCATATTTTCGCGGAATAAAGTCTGGCGCTCGTGCACGGAGTACATCTGTACAAATAGAGCGGACTGCAACGCGAAACTCGCTAACTAGAGGTAAACAAGATTTAATAATATCTCACCAGAGTGTGCGACCCGTACTGATGAATATGTTTTGTCCACTTTGTCCAAAGCCGTCCAGATACAGGCCGGTCGCATTGTCATGCACTAAACCGAGGCAGCGATCGGACCACCTCTGCGCTGCCTTCGCTAGACCGGAATGCCATTTCTAAAGCAAAGAAAAACATCCGACATAACAATATTATCAAATATGACGCTTTATCGTAGACAGAGCACCTCGGAAATTGCAATACTATACGAATATTCGGGACTGAAATGGAAAAATATTTCTAACGTCAAAACGTTAATTACTTTCAAATTGTAAGCTATCGAAAATTTCTTTTCGAATTGAGGATCATTGGACAACGAAATTCTAGATAACCAAATAGATAACTCTTCCAATGCGAGCGTTTAAACAATTACAAATAAATTCAAAGCTGAATGTTAACGAATTTGGTAGAAAAATATGCTTAACCTACTTTTGATTAGAAAGAAAATGGCTACAAATTAGGCAAGGGGCGTAATTGAAAGGCTCTGTGCATTATATTCAGAAATAGCTTAAAGTTTAATTAAATACGTATAATACAACTGCGTTTTACAAGTGCAAGAAGTTTTTTTTTCACGTCTGCGCGCATACGTAAACTCCCGGCAAAAGTTTCTTGACTTTCCTGTGGCTCCTTAATTGCTCGTTATATGCAAATATCGTGCTTTCAAAGCACATAATGTTCGCCCCCGTAGAGGCGAAGCCCGCGTTCTCAAAAGTTTCACGAAGAAAGATGCTGCGCTTCTTATTTATTTATTTTTTTTTTTTTTTGTTATTTCTCATATTTCTCCTCTTCATTCCCCTATATTTCCCGAACTCGATAGTAAATTATAACTGCGCGTTAATTCTCTGTAATGAACCGCATTTATAGTTGCAAGAACTGCAACTACGTAACTTGACTACGTAAAAAAAAAACGGCCAAAAGTTACGCCGTGATGCTCCGATATTGCATTCTACGCGCCTACGTTAAACTTGAGAAAGTCGGAACCTAAGTCCTAGAGCGGGGTTCCTTAATCAGAGGCGCTCCTTGATTTATGCATCTCGGAGTGAGGAGGACTGCTTTCTTGCTTAGGTATATAAAGTTGACTCTGAATTCTAACAAGTACCAGATGCAATATCCTGTTACGCACAATATGCTTTGAAATTTTTAATTATGCTTTATAGAAGATATAGCTCGGTATATAAACATTATATTTTATAAATTAACATTTATATATTTATGTATCGTTATGTTAGCTCTCTCTCTCTCTCCCCTCCTATTCGCTTTCTCTGCCTGTCTCTCTCTCTTTCTTTTTCTTCCCCTCTTATAATTTATAAATATAACAAAGCACAATAATATTTTATAAATGAGAATACTCAGAAATTATTTATAAGTGAATATAGAAAAATTAAGAAAGATAAACGGTAATTCTTATTTTCTATTACGAGATGTTACGTTAAAAATATAAAAATTGTAAATGTCTAAAAAAATCGATTAATCATGATTTTTTCAATAAATATCAACATGATTATTAATTAATAATAATAATCTGCTGAATGAAAGATGTAATATTTCGTTGGACCCATTCGTGATATTACTTGTTGTTAGCCCCCATACGTTGACTCTATACTGAATCGATAGAATCGAAGGATACCGCGGTCATTCTCTCCTCGAGAAACTCGCATCGCGCGCCTCGAGTTTCGCCGAGAAACCCCAGATAACAGTCGCATCTACGGCGTAACTCCTGCCGAAAGTAGCTTTTACGGTGACGTCGCTGGTAGTTTCCGTGGGAAAAGAATTTAAGTGGGAAGTCGTGTAACTTATAACCAAGCTTGAGATTGGCGGCGCGAAGGAAACGACGAGTAAACGCGACGAGCAGACCCAGAGATGGTCTAACCACGTAGACACACCTGGCCGCGTCTACAAATATACCGGATTTTCCGGGAAGATATTTTACCAGGCCAACTATGAGAGTCGACTTCAAATGCTCGAAAACTTGTGCAATTATAACAAAAAAAAATAGTTAATCACAAAATAATTTAATTCATTAATATTTTAATCATAATTATAATTACACGTATACCGTCATAACTAAAAGTTGCTGGAAAAAAAAAAATTGTGTTAGCAGTCATACAGCAGTCATTTGATTCCAACTTCCTCTTTGCATATTTCTTACGCTTTTATTATTGCGTCTGCTTTTGTTTCCTTATAGAGAAGAAAAGGCGATTGAGTTAATCTGCATTTCGATTTGTTTCGGTTAAACTACCAACCGCGGTGGATATCGCCTTTCCTTCTGAAATCTCCTGCGCTGTATCGCCGTGAGAAACAACGGGAAGTGAGTGATATATAGTACACATACATGTTTATATATAGATCGGATAATAACGTCGATGCAGGCGGAAATTGAAATCTTGCACCGTACTCGACGGCGAACCTCGAAAATTCAGTTTTCTGATCAAGTAAACCGCTTCGTAAGGTAAATCTCTGATAAAACCCGCTATTTTGTATGCACAAGCACATTTAACATCTTAATATCGAGCGTTCATTGAGCAATAGAAATATATCCGTAAGAATAAATTTACGTTTTGATACAACATTATTTTACATATTACATATATATAAATATCTCATATGTAAAATAATTACAATTGTATAATTACAATTAAATACAAGACAAATGTTCACGGCATAATTAATATACTTTTATACTTTTGTTGGTCTTTTCATAATTATTTGTGTTATAAATATATACAATACTGATATTTATTGTTATAAATATATACAATACTGATATTTGTATTATAAATTCATACCGATATTTGCAGTTGAAATTATTTACAGTTAAATAATCTGTTTTACCATTATTTAATTATCCATTATTCTCGAAATATCGGCGTGCATCTTATTATCATGCTTTATTATCCAAACAGAAGAAAGTCACGTGTTGCAGACAATAATTGGTGCAGGATTTACATTCAGCATTTCTGATAATTTTCCACAGAAATACGGAAAATCGCGAAACGAGCGGATAACGAGCGCTTTCGCCGCTTAATTTTAATCAGTCCAATTAACGGCACGCGTTATCTACTGCGAAGTTGCCAAAAACTCAAATTAAATGCGCATTGTACACGAGAAAGTTGAATTACGTTACTGCTGTATTTATTATACTGCTTTTGTTGCGTTTCCAGAAGAGTGCCTCCTCATTTGTGGCCGGTAATTATTTCTCTGAATATTATCCGTACAAATTTTACAAAGAATATAAACCTATATAAATCTTTGTGTTTTCTAGTTTCATAACATGATATCATTGGATAATATAAATTTAGATTTTTGAACAGCTATTATATTATATGATTTAGAAGTTTGTGAATTGATCTCATAAAAATAAACTTGAATTGCCAGTATCTTTTAAATTAAAAATCAAGTATTGAATAATTTATATTGCTATATATTTTCCCCAAAAATAATGTATGATGTATAAATATAAAATAGTAAAGCATTTTTAATTCAAATTTTAATAATAGTTCAATAACATTTAAATAACATCTTATCTCTCAAGTATATAGATACATGGCAATATATTTATTTTAGAGAGAAAGAGAGAAAGAGAGAGGACGGAGAATCAATATTATTTTACATTTGATCACAAATTTATTTATATCAGTTTATTAAATTATTTTAAAATATGTCACCTAGAACTCAAGTGTGTAAAATATTAAAGTTACATTATAATTAATTCAACTGAAACAAAATAATCTGTCGATATCGACATTGAGACTGTAGTGCATTCGAAAGGCTATTTCTATTTTTGAAAGAAGTGAGAGATACGCGGAGCGAAAAAGAGTTTGGAAGGATCCTATTTTGAAAAGTGGCAACGTATTGTCGAAGGCACATCGAAAGATGAGAATCTTGGAAAATCGATAGAATTTCAAAGCGAGCATCCCTACCATTATTCGAACAGGCTACGAAACCGCTCGGTCGCATTATTCACGAATACTGCGCGAAGGAATCTCAGCTTCAAGTAAAGCTGATATCCAAAAATCCAGAGATTCTTGAAACTTCAAATTTAATAATAATATATTGTAATAAAATTACATTTAACACACATTTGAATCAAAATTCTTGTAAAACGTGGATTTATATGACACTGTTTAATATTATTAGCAATATTTAATATTATTACAATATTTTATGTCATTCCGTTATCCAATATTATTCGTCCTCTGTAATTACTCGAAATATACGAGAGAAAAAAGTGGCTTTGTCTCTTTATCGTTCAAAGTAGCTTTTAAATTGATGTAAAAGGTTTGTCATTTTTCTATCAAACTTTATATTAAACAAAGTTAAAAACCGAACTGTTTTAAAAAGAGAAATAAAAAATTTCTTTCTAAAAAGAACACAAAGTATGCTGAAGTCCGCGGCGGTACTTTGGCTTCGATTTTGCTGAACTTTCAACTTCTTTTTTGACTGATACGCGACAAACTTTTTGCACCAACCTAATAGACGATCATGTCTGCAAGAATAGCGTTCGCATTACACATCTTTCTTTTACTCTCCTGATGACCCATTTCAGATGATCGATAGTGAAACTTATAAGGTGCGTAAAAATTTAGCGCGTTTGTCACTATAAAGCTCGAAAAAGCATCTTATATCACAGCCTTGATAAAATTTCTTGCCGTGTTCCCATTATTTTCCATCGTTTTTCCATCATTTGCGAAAAATAACAAAAATATGCCGTCGCGAGTAGATGCAACATAATGACAAGTATATCAAAAGCATCCGATATCGGCTATCGGTCGCGCCGTCGCCGTCGTCGCGATGTAGCGACGACAGCGGACAAAAAGCGAGCATTTGTGAAATATCGTGATGAACTGCCGATGCAATTTATAGAAAGGTGGTTATCGCGCCGCACCGGCGAAAGTTCTCGTAAACGTTCCCGATGAAGCGCGTAACGTCTACTTCCGCTCCGCCCCCCCCCCCCCCCGACGAAACCAATTTTACTTTGAAGTTCGAGTCACGCGGACAGGCGTCGATCAACGGAAATAGGGTATATCGATCTCGTGTCTCGCCGCGCGAATACTTGCGTTTGTACATACGTCTAGCGGACGCAGAAGACGCCGCACCGGTGTAAGTTATTCTCTTGTAAACCGTTTAGCGTTCGATCCCGCAGCGATTCACAATCAAGTGACATCTGACTTCGTGGATCTATGTCTAACAAATGACTTTTCTCGCGCTGCACACTGTACGTAAATATATTTATGCGCGTAAAACAGAAACTCGGGATTTAAACACGAAAAACTTGTATAATTAGAAGAGCGCGGAATTATCTACAAACCGTTTATTGCTGTTATTTTGTTTTTCTTAACTCGATCAAACTGTATTATAAATTGACTTGTGCACATATTTATAATCATTGATTCATTATTATTTATAATCATTGATACTATTTTTTTTTGTTTAACATCTCTTAGATTTTTTTCACTACTTCTAACTTAATTCTTTCTCACCGCTGAACGACGAATAAATTATGAACATTTCTTTTATACCCTAACCACTTTCACGTTTTTATACTCTAATTTTATGACTCTGTTAATGATATATTTATTATATTTAATTTATTTTATACACATTGTTTTATATTGTAATTTATATAATGCTTTCAGTTTTGATAGCCTTTCTTCAATTCTGTTTTTATTATGTTTTTTTTTTATCAACTTTATGCTTACTCATTAATATTCATATTTATTTCTGATGTATAATATTCATAATATTCCTTTCATGTTAGGTATATTTTATTTATTTCGTTATTTCAGTCAATTACATAAATCTTATAATTCTTATCACTACTGATGAAGATCGTTAAAACATTCACGTGCTTTATCCTTGAATTTGATTTTTTAAATAAACGAAGACTGTCTTATTTTAAACAACATCGCCGTTGATCTATCTAATCGCTTCTCCTAATTACTTTTGTATAGACGAGCTAATCATATTCTCTTTATTATGTTATTATTGCACGATCAAATGTTCTGAGATCCCGAAGATGGGATTTTCTTCCCTTGTTAGACGGGAATAAGAATGGAATTCTTACCATGACGAGCATGTTGGCGGCAGATGGCTTGACCTGCGTGCGAAAGTAATTGTGGGTGTCCACGATCTTTTGCCGTATCTTGCTGCTGGTGGTCCTTATTAAATTGACGGGAACTCTGTCGCCGTACAGTCGTGGCGCTGAAATCAAAAAAGGAGATACCTCCTTCCAATAACCGACATCTGTCGCCGACGAGGGCCTGGAATCCGGCCCGACAGCACTGCCGACTACTCATTTCCCCTTCGCGAGAAGCAAAGGGGAAGAGCTTGACCAGATCATGCGAGAACGAAGGGCGGGGCGCATTTTGCTCCCCGGCAAAGTATATATGTCAATCAGGACATAGAAAAATATGAGAATAAGAGTACAGGATTCCGTGTAACTAAAGATGCGGAAGTTCGTGTTTGTTTCATGATGTGCCGTTCGATTTTCCGTTTGTTCGCAACGCGACGTGTCGCAAGGTCTCCAGATTATTTCGGAAAATACTCGTATGCCTCCGGCTGAAAAACGGAAAACGTTTCGAAACGGATGCTATTTTTGCCATCGCGTGCGCCATCGATGTCCTTTCAGTTGCTGTTTCGACGTCTTATTGTTTCCGCATATACATATCTGTATATATATATATATATATATACATATAGTCGCTCGGTAAAAGCATAATATTTTCTTCATTTTTATCGTCCAGAGATTGTCAGAATCGGGAATCTATCGTAAAACAATTTCGCGGATAGCAATATCGCGTGTATTTCTGAACAGTCGGCGGATACACATAGCCTTTCGAGATCGGCTTACTGTCGTTATACGCGAAAGAACAAGCGACGGCGGTTTTCTTCAATCACTATCGTGAAGTGATTCTCCGCAGCCTCGTCCCGATCAAAATCGACTTTCCGCCCGCTCGCGACGTATCGAGCGGCTCTCCGATTCTTTCGGAAGATACTCGTAAAGGAATGTCCGTATGATAGGATAACGGTGAAAACGGCGAGCGTTTGGATCGTATATCTTTTCCGGATAGTTATACGATACGTTTCTTTGATATTCTCGTGTACGAATATTTATCCGGGGGGAAAACCCCACACGAACTTCTCAGAACGTTCGCGGGACGCGCAAACACGGCCAACAAGTCGAGCGATAATTAATAGAAGAATAATTCATCGAAAGAGGCAAGTTCTCTGAATTTCTTTAAAGCGATTTATCTCGGCAATAATATTTTCCCGCAATAACTGCTCGTGAAAGCTACTTATTAATAAACGTTTACTCACTGGGCTTGCTTCTGTGGATTTTTCGCGGTACAGCAGCCGGCAGCGCCAGAGCCACTAAGACAATTATCCAAAGCCACTTCATTGTTTCCGGTTATATGAGCTGAAACATGAAATGGGGCCGTTTATATTCCAGGTGTTCTTGCCGCCGAGTTCTGTTCTATTAATATACAAAAAGCGCTGAAAAATTATATTATTAATGCCCAAACTTGGAAGATCGTATTGAATATTCAAAAATGAGCTGAAAGTTTTCTTAAAACTGGTAAGACATCCTTCTTTCGTGCATTTACATTACGAGCGTTTATGTAATTGGCCTTTCGTAAATTTATTCGTTTGTCCTTATTACCTATCCTTATTACCTATTCGTTCTCTTTAACTTTACTTAAACAACTTTACTTTTAACGTAACAGTTAATCTCCTAAGATAATCAGTGTTGAAAATTGAAAAAAAATACGAGATAATGAGCTCTCTCTCTCTCTCTCTCTCTTTAATGTTTTGCTAAAGGAAAATCGACTTCGTATCGGTCAAAGAAACTGCGAACGAACGCTCGTGCGTACGTACGTTTTTTTCATCTCTGTACATACGATTGTATTTCGATCAATCTTTCTCTCTCCTGGTCTTGTTAGTCATTCGGTCGTCGAACTTTTCCAGCGCGCGCGGCAGCGTACATGCACATGTGCGCGGCGGTCTCAGTCGAGCGACACGACATTCGCACCTGTGTGCGGCTCATTAATCACCATTCGCCTCGTCAACGGCAAATTTCATTATTTCTCGCCCGCGAAACTGTGTGTCCACGGGCGTAGCGTTATCAACCCCGCTATCAACCCTGACAACGCCGCCGCTATCATCAATAGCGCGGCGCCCTTCGCGGTGGTAAACGTCAAAGGCAAATGGCACGTACGAAGACAGATTACGTTGAACGGCATTCGCGTTCGCGCAACAGCTCTCGCCAAACGAACAAAATCCCTCGATTCTTTCTTTTTTTTTTTAAATCGGTTCACTAGGCAACAATGAAATATTTTCAATGAGACTCGATAGTGTTTTCAAATCCCTCCCCGATTAAATCGAAGAATTCTAAAGCTAAAATTTGATTATTTTTTAATATTTTTGAAACGTTGATAAGTTAGTTTTAATCTTATTGTTAGTTAGAATTTCCACACCGTTAAATATTTTTCATTAGTTGACATATATTAGTAAAGACCGATAGAAAATATTAAATAACAGCTATTTATATTTTTGCAATCTGCAACTGATCTATTTAAGCTAAGTGATTGATGTATAATTTTGATAAATTTAATTCTTTTAAATTAGTCTTCAATTATCAGGAGTTAAATGTGTAGAGATCAGATATTTATTAAGATGATTAATTAAAATTTTCAGAATAAATTTTAAAAGCGCTTTCTATGATCGGAGGCTGGATCTTGGTGCCTATAATAATAAATTTCTATATGAATTTTTTAAATTGAATTAGTGAATTATTTCAAGTGAATTATTTAATTTTATTTCATAATGAATTTCTTCGTAGTGTTTTAAAATGCTTGTTCGCGTCGAATTATTAAACGTTAAATATCAATTTAATTATGATCTCACTGTTTCTACTTCAGCTTATGATTGCGTTGATTGCGTTACAAGTCCAACATTAATTCGACGCGCAGTTAGGCCGAATAATGAATTTAACATTCATACGGAAATATTATCAGGCACTAAGATCCAGCCTCGACCACAAAAAGCGCTCTTAAAATTTATTTGTGATATTCACTTACGCGGTCTAGTAGTTCATCTCAACCATAAAAAGCGCTATTAAAATTTATTTGTGATATTTACTTACAGTTCCTCTACTATTGTTTATATGTAAAATTTTTCGATTGTACATAGCATCCACCTAATACCGACTGAAGTCTTAATACACGTATCATTATCAAATGTAAAAATCATAAAACTGTATCTACGTAGTTGAACAATATTATTTTCTCTTTAATACGTTCTCTTTAATACGAGCCTTTTTAGATGACGAGACCAAAGCTCATCTTCTTCGTCTGTTCTATCTGACTGGGAAGACTTTGAGGACTCCGGAGTATCAAAGGAATGCAAAAAGCTTCGACCAAGCTGAACGACATCAAAGGCACATTTTGTTTCTCCTCAGTTCTGCGCACATTCTTATGTCCGCCACTTTTCATTTTCCCTTTTTGAATATACATATACATCCTCCGTCTTCCGACGGACGAAAGATATTCCGATTCTCCTCCCCTTCTATGCGCCGCTTTTCTCCCTCGTAGACGGGGCGTATGCAAAATAGTTTAAGACAGATGATACATATGGATGCCCCTTGGCACGCTTCTCGCGTTGATTAGATTTTGATGATTCAATCTTGAAATTGACATAGGAAAACGTAAAGCATCCGCTCGTTCAGTTTGACGTGACTCAAAGTAAGAATTAATAACGCAAGCTTCTAAATTATCTTTGATTAAACATTTTTCCATATTTTATCGTGTAATATTATACATTTCATTTGTTTTTAATATTGAATACATTTTAACAATTTTGTTTTATTTGTAAAGCATAAAATTTTATATTATATCAATTTGTAATTTATATTGTATCATTTCATCGATATCAAAAGATTTATTACACACAGAGTGTATACATACGTGATATCTTTTAAATATACGACCTGCATGCCAGATTTGGCTGAATAAAGACTTTGCTAATATCCAGTGCATTAATATTTGAAGTCCTCGGAAAGTACTCATGATTTCTCGGGAAACGCTAATGCGAGCTCACCAAACATCCTGCCGGAATTTCGTACAGACTGTTGCTGTTTGCTTCGACGACATGCTAAGCATATGACGTGCGGAATCCGAGTCGTAATAACTATTTGCAATTTTGTTGGTCAGTTTGGTCAGTTACGCGTGTTTGAGGAGCGACGAAACAACGCGAGTGACAGCAGAGTTTCTCCAATTCGGGAATTCTCGAAAGTAACGATCTTGTCCAAGCGTACGTAATAATTTTCATCGCGATTGCCTTTCAGCTCACAAAGCCAAACGCCGCTTCGTGAAGTTTTTTTTTTTTTTTAAATTTTGCCGTTTATATCAGTTTTTATTTTCGACTTAACAAGTCTTGCTAAGAATTCCGTCTTTGTCTACCTACATTATCGCAGCGTCTATATTTTCTGTGTAGGTAGTATAAAAGAAAAGAATTTTTATCAGAGAACTTTTTTTACGATCTATAGCTTTTATGCTTCGGTTGCAAATGCGTTTTGCATGCGAAAGTACGATGTAAAAGTTAAATGAACTGAAGACGTAAAAAAATGCAAACATGTGTATACGAGCTTAAAATTAAAATCGCCATAATTTTTACTGGCCAATTATCACGAATTTCATAATCCCTATATGCTACGCAGGGATTATATAACAATTGTCGTTGTCCAAATATGTATTATTATTAAGATTTTATATTATACCGTGCAAACTCTTTGACATTTAGGACTTGTCTTCGCCTTGGCATTATTTCCAAATCGTATGTGACAGCACAAACCCACTCCTTTGTCGAAGCGTATGTGCGGTGCTCGTGGCTCGCCCCCTTCCCCTTTCCCCGAGGGTTAAAAGGATATGACGGCGTCGTATAGTACTACCACATGTTCCACATTTATTGCACGTTTGATGTGCAGCATAGTGTAGATAGATATAGTTTATTCTAATGCGAGTGCGCGCGGTACGCCTTTATAGCGCAACGCCGCAGTGGTAGAGGCGAAGTGAGGTCAGCCGTGTCTAACCACAACCGTCGTTTTCACTGAAGCCATCCACTTAAAATATATGTTACCGCTCAATTTACCCGCGTGCTCGATCTTGTTTCTATTATTTACCTTATTATTATCTATCTCGTGACTTGTATTGAAATTTATTATTTATATAGTTTAATGAACTATAGTGCAATAATGGATAGGAGCACCATAATATGAGAGATATATTAAAATGTTATAGAAGCGCTATTACTCTGAATTAAAATTAATTTCACCGGGTTTTTTCAAGGGCGATTCTCGTACTAATGGACGGTGGAAAATTAATGAGGACGATTGACTGTCACAAGGGACGATTCTTTTGTCGGATGGAGTTGGTTATTGCGAGATTCATTACACTCCACGTTACATAGGGGAATAAAGGGGCTGACGCTCCTTTCATCAAGAGTCAAAAGCGGCAGTTCGTCAATAATTCAGAGGAAATTTCCGACCGAGGATAAGCCCGACGGCAACCGCATTTAATTTGCGACAAAGTCCGTGGTCGACGACGGAGTATACCGTGAGACGACGACGCGACGGTGCGGGCGCGGCGACGCGAGTGCGCGCGTTACCGCGTGAAACATGCAGCGCGTAATATCGGCCGCGTGTAAATTGCTCATAAATATTTTCACTTAATTTCGCAAATCAAGAGTGCGTCGCGTGGCTAACAACCGTTCCGGTAAGCCCCTCGGTAACACTTCGTTCATAATTAAAATCATAATTGCGAAGTAGCCGGCCGACTGCGCGAGATGATCTATAACTTCACGTTTTGGCGAACGCGAAGTTCAGGATTTAATGTCGCGAGACAATTCTCGATATATGTGCTGCAAATACGAAGCATTCATCAATGTAGCAGAATTTAACATGTGATCAATGACAATGTGTCAATTATTCGTATTTGTATATATTAATAATTAACGGAAATACGGAAAATCAACTTTCACGCGTTTTCAGATATAGCGCGATTGAATTAATTAATATATGTATTTCGAAACTTGAAGGTGAATATATATTTTTTCTAGGAAAAATTAATTTTAATTAAATTTAATTTAATTAAGTTAAAAAATTTTTAAATGAAAAAATTAATTAAAAGAGAGAGTATAATAAAAAAGAGAGATTTTTTGAACTTAATTATAATAATTATATCTGCAGTCTGTCGAGCTGTATGTAAGCAGTTATCATCTTTCTTTGTACTTATATTTTTGAGATATGATAAAGTGGTGATTTATTACAGCTATAAAATCGTTATTGTGTAACGTATAGAATTTATGGAGAAACGTATCTAAACGTTGATATAATACGATTATGTCGTTTGCTCCCCTCGTTGC